TAATTTGTTAAAAGTAACAGGAAGCCCGCCCTGGCCACATTGGCTCAGTGGTTGAGCATCGGCCTATGAACCAGGAGGTCACAGTTCAATTCCCGTCAGGGCACATGCCTGGGTTGTGGGTTCGATCCCCAGTAGGGGGGGTGTGCAGGAGGCAGCCGATCAATGATTCTCTTTCATCATTGATGTTTCTCTGTCTTCCTCTACCTTCCTCTTTGAAATCAATGAAAGCATTTTTTTGTAAATGTAACAGGAAGCCCACTCTATAGTAATAAAAGCATAATATGCTAATTAGACCGGATGACCTTCCGGACGAAACCAGGCTGCAAGGGAAGCCTGGGTCCCGGGTGCCAGAGGGAAGCTGGTGCCGGCAGCCAGGGAAGGAAGACCTACTCTGGCACGAATTCCGTGCATCAGGCCTCTGGTATGAGCATAAATAACGTGTCTCTGCGAGATGTATTTTCCAAAACCAAACACTGAGCAGGGTGTCATTGTCTTACGTGTCCGTGGCGTGTGAAACGTTTTAGTTTGATGTAGTCCCATTTGTCTGTTTGTCCTTTTGTTGCCCTTGTCTGAGAAGACATCCAAAACGATATCGCCAAGAGGGGTGTCAAGAGCTTCTGCCTGTTTTAGGGTGTCAGGTCTTACATTAAGTCTTTGACCCATTTGAGTGCGTTCTTGTGTGTGATAGAAGGTGGTCTGATGTCATGTGTTTTGCATCTATCTGTCCAGGTTTCCCAACACCAGTTACTGAACAGACTCTTAACCCCTGTGTGTTCTTGCCTCCTGTGTCGGACTCATCAGCGCTGTAGACATGGGTTGACTCTGGGCACTCTGCTGTCCCAGGGGCCGCGTGTCTGCTGTGCCCGGGCCAGGCTGCTGGGGCTCTGGTTCTGGGTCAGTGCTGACTGTGGCGCCTGGTGTTTGCTGTTTTACAGAGGTGCTCCAGGCGGGCAGCGCCCTGTTCCCCGACCTCCTGGTGCGAGAGACCGAGGCTGTCCTGCACAAGCACCGCTCCCCCACCCGCTGCGAGCGGCTGCTGCAGCACGTGCAGGCCCGGCCACCGGCCCTGTGACGGCTCCGGGCAGGGCCGTGGGTGCCACTGCCGCAGGTGGGCACCAGCACCAGCCCTCGTCCCCGCTGGCTGGGGTCAGCGGCCTGCACCCCACAGCAGGGCGCCTTTTTGTCCACAGCCTAGGACACGAACAAGAAGACTCTGACAGCAAGAATGTATTTCCTAAGGAAAACCGCAGTGTTGTGGGACGGTGTTTCAAACCCGGCAATTTCTGAAATAAGGTTCTCTGAGTGGCTCTGTATTTTTATGTCCTGTTTATAGTTCATTGAAAGGTCAGCCAAAAGCCTACAGCTCATTGGACATTAAAACTAAATGTCCACTGCACACTGCAGGCAGGCCCGCGCTCGCTGGCCCTCTACGCTCCCTGCGCTGCTGGCTGATTCCTGCTCCATCTGCTTCAGTGCCACCAAGGACGTTCCTGACCATTCAAAAAGCCAAAGGGATTTAAAGTTTTCATTCTTTCTTTGGCTTCTGTCTATTGACATTTCAGTGAACAGACTTAAAGGAATTTGAAATCTTAAGAACTGTTAGTGAAATTTTTCCCATTTAAAATATACTGGAACTTAAAATGTTTTATGGACCAATTCAGTCAGAATCTTTTCTTAGGTCAGTGATGCTAACAGTGTTGAAAACGGGAGATTTAACCAGATTCTCGTTGCTCTCAATGGCAGGAAAGTAAATTTTGCTTTGTTCTCCAGCACTTTCTACACCCAAGTGCCTCAAAGATTTCATTTAAAGTGGTTATTATTTCCATAAGCCAAATGCTATGTTTTCTAACAATCAAATGTTAACATTTATGCTTTGGTGTTTGACTTAATTAAAAATATTTATTATAATTGCCTGTCTTTATGTGTTTTGATAATTAGTTGAAATTTTTAGAAACCATTCATTTTTTCCTTAGATTTAACCTGGGCCTGTGGAGGGAAAGGGGTGGTCACCGCTCGCTGCAGTGCCCATTCTGGACACCAGGTGGCAGGAGCTCCCAGGAGATGGCAGGGCATCAGCAAGGCTGCTCTGGGCTCTGGGGGAGGCTGGGTGATGGGATGGGGGACAGCGGCCTGCAGAAGGGGTGTGATCTGAGTGCACACAGCCCAGGCCCCAGGGGATGTGTCCCTGGCTCCATTGACATCACCCATCTGTGTCCCCTGCTGAGCCGTGTCTATGATTGATGGCTGCAGGAATGGAGGAAGCCCTCAGGGATGGTCTTGCTCAGGCATTCGTCCCCAAACTGCCCTTTGCCTTCTGTATCCTCTGCCTTTTCCTTCCTCCGCGTCACATGGGAACCTGTTAGAAATGCCAGTTATTGGGCCTCAGCCCAGACCTCCTGGATCAGAAGAGGTGGGGCCCCGTGGTCGCCTTGAGGGGACTCTGATGCCCCTAAGGCGGGAGGACCCCTGCCTGGAGCACCATGCATTTTCATGTCCAGCCTGAAGACCCATCTGTTTGGTCAGCCCTTGGGTGTCACAGGAAGCACCAATCAATGGCAGTGAGCTTGGCTGAGAGGACAACACACTCAACTCGCCGCCACCTGTTTTGTTGACGGTTTCCTTCGCTTGCAGAAGATTTTTAGTTTGTTCTGGGCACATGCGGGAGGCAACCAGTTGATGTTTCTCTCCCTTCCTCTCTCTAAAAATATCCTCAGTGAGGCTTTAAAAATAAAGTAAAAATAAAGTCTTGTTGAGAAATGCAAAGACTTGTACCCTCGTGTCCACAGCGGCTTTGTTCCCGGCCCAAACAGGAAATAGTGCAGATGTCCACCAACAGCTATGGATGGGTAAACAAAGTAGTTTATCCACCCGACAGAATACTATTTATTCTGCAACAAAAAGGAGCAGAGGAGGAAGGCACAGATGGGGCGGGGCTCACAGGCTGAGCTGGAGAAGCGGAGCAAAGGCCATGTGAGGTGGAGGGAGGACGGACGGAGCTGTTCGTGCTCTCCGGTCACCGCGTCCACAGTGGGCGTCTGCGGCCCGTCACACTCCTCTCCACTGTGTGAGTGACGTTTGTGTCAACTCCTTCGTAACAAAGTATTACGACCAGCGAGAGCCCAGACGGAGAGGAGTCCCCACAGCAGCTGCCTCGCGGCCGGAACAGTACATGTTCCCTAAAGGGACGTCTTTCTTCCCGACTTTTCCGTATCCTCCAGGATTCTCTAAACACCGTGCCACCCAGACCTCCGGGCGTTGCCTGTGTGACGTCTGGTGTCAGAGAAGCGATTACTGGATCTTAGCATGGAGAGGTGGTCTCTGGGTAGCACTTCTTTTTCCCTGTTGACGCCTTTGAGTCACGATTTTAAAAGCATTTTAAGAGGCCACAGGCAGTGCTGCTGTGGCACCCGCGGCGTCTCTGAAGGGAGCTGCAGCCTGCACTGCACTCTGAACGAACCTCAGCCTCTCTGACCTGGCGGTGCCCGCGGCCTCGCACCCCAGGGCCTCGGCCTCCTCCCAATAAGCAAATGATGGTGCCGGGAGCTGGCGGGACACAGGCCTGGAACCCGTGCCACGGGCAAAAGCGCCGCCTCTGTGTGGTCGCCCGCAGGGTGTCCAGTGCTGGAGAGCGTAACCGGAGGAGGCGCGCGGTGTTGGCTGACAACGGGGAACTGCAGACGGAGGGATCGATTCAGTCTCGGTGTCCCTTCCGGGCCTGAGCGGTGCCTTCTTCCCAGTTCGTGTGTTTCTTTCTGTTTCCGCTCTCTACCCTGTTGACGTTTGGCGAGGATTGAGCGGGAAGAGCGCTGACCTCTAGGCGCTGCTGACCACTAGGCGTGACCCGGGGAGGGCGCGCTCTGAGCGGCCGCAGGC